GAATGTAAATTATCGAGAAAAATGTGTAAAATATCACTAATTTCCCGATTTTCCTTGATATTCGAACCTCTATCTCCTTCATTTTGCTAATATTCACGTTAAATTCCAATAAATTCAGCTAAATAACACGAAATATGAGAGATAGAATGTAAATTATCGAGAAAAATGTGTAAAATATCACTAATTTCCCGATTTTTCTTGATTTTTGATGCTCTATCTCCTTTATTTTGCCAATATTCACGTTAAATTCCAATAAATTCAGCTAAATAACACGAAATATGAGAGATAGAATGTAAATTATCGAGAAAAATGTGTAAAATATCACTAATTTCCCGATTTTTCTTGATTTTTGATGCTCTAACTCTCATATTTATGGGAAAGAGGAGGCGTGCCCTGAATTTTCAGGCGTCCCCTTAATTTTCAGGCGTCTCCTGAATTTTAGCCCTTATTTTTTTATTATATAGAGAGATATTTAAAGCATACGCTCGGAGTGGAGGCGCTCAATCAAGTTTTAAAACCAATACTGAACAAGAAACGATTCGTTGCTTTGTACGCGGTCTCAAGAAAGGAATTCATGTAAGCCCCTATCGATGCATAGATTTAGACACGGCCATTCAAGATGCTATCGAGTCGGAAAAAGAAAAGGCGACGAGAAACGAATTACATGGATACGAAAAACATACGCGATCGAAAACAGAAAACGTGGGAAAAAGAAAGCGTGATCGGAGAATAGATGCAATTGCTGAAGAAAAATATTGCACATTTTGTAAGAAAAATAACCACACTATTGATCGATGTTTCGCGAAAAACAGATTTCCAGCTAAGCCTGTTATTTGTGCATATTGCACGAATAAGGGTCACATAATCCAAGAATGCCGGAAAAAGAAATGGCTCGATGACAAACGTAAAAGTGAAAATCAAGATACGAAATCGGGAAACGAGAATCGCCCCTCGACGTTGAGCGCGCGTTCAGAGACAAAGGCGGCAAATTGCGTGACCCTCACCAATCGCAATCACGCGATACATACAGAACCCATTCTCTTCACAATTTAGGAAAAGAATCTTTTTTTTCGCCAACCGTTATATTCCAACGTAAAAATCAGATAAGCCCATTCACCCTCATGATAGACACATGGGCGGAACTAAATATAATTAAAGAGAGCGCTCTAATGCCGGATGATAAGATTAATAAAAATCGTGTCTGCCGAATAAATGGCGTCGGTACTGATGCCCTTTATACAAAAGGAACTGTGTTTTTTCCAATATTTGGCATTGATATAACTTTTCACGTGGTAGGGAATGAATTAGCTACCCAACAAGATGGAATACTCGGCGCACCTTTCTTAATGGCGCATATGGGTACCATAAATTATGCGACACAAACGTTGAACCTAAAAGATAAAGAAATTGCATTTTTACGGAAAATATAATTATTTTGCCCCCAAGAAGTAGGAAGTCAATATTTCTTGTCTCAACTCCTGATTCGCCACCAACAGGATATTTACCGAAACTTCCATTGGGCGATAAAATATTTTTGGGGCATTAGTAACAAATTATGACGGTCGAATGTATTTGGAAGCAATTAACGCTAACGAAAGACCAGCAGTAATTCGGAGTTCTCCTGTTATACTAGAAACCTATGAAGAATTGGATAAAAAACATATCGCTTATCATATTTCCTGTGCGTCTGTATCTGCAAATGCAAATCGCGTTGAAAAATTGAAGGATCTATTGAGATTAGAACACCTGAACGAGGAAGAAAAAACCGAAATACTCTCCCTCATATCCGAAACTCAAGATACCTTTCATATACCTGGAGAAGCCCTAGGGGTTATTCACACAATGACTCACCGCATAATAACGACCGAACCACTACCGATCAATACTAAACAATATCGCTACCCTCATATCCATAAAGAAGAAATAAATAATCAAACTAAAGCTATGTTAGACGCAGGAATAATAAAAAATTCCAAATCCCCTTATAATTCACCCGTTTGGATAGTGCCCAAAAAGAAAGATTCACAGGCAAATATAAAATGACGACTTGTAATAGATTTTCGAATACTTAATGAAAAAACTATCGGTGATGCATACCCATTACCACAAATCTCTGAAATTCTAGACCAATTAGGAGGAGCAAGATATTTTTCCGTATTTGATCTCGCTTCAGGTTTTCATCAGATCCCTATGCACGAAGAAGATAGAGAAAAAAACCGCTTTTTCTACCGCTTACGGTTACTACGAGTTCACACGTATGCCTTTCGAATTAAAAAATGCCCCAGCCACATTTCAAACATTAGTGGATCAAACTTTAATGGGCTTAAAAGGACAGGAGATGTTTGTTTATTTAGACGACATTGTAATTTATTCTAAATCATTAAATGAGCATCGAACAAAATTTATGAAACTTGTCGATAGGTGACGCGGAGCCAATTTAAAACTACAACCTGACAAATGTGAATTTTTGAAACGAGAAGTGGCATATCTTGGCCACATAATTAGTGAAGACGGCATCAAACCAAACCCTGATAAAATAAAAGCCATTGAAGAATTTCCAAGACCTAGAAACCCAAAGAACATTAAACAATTTTTAGGGCTCGCCGGATACTACAGACGATTTATCGAAAGTTTTTCGAAATTAGCCAGACCATTAACAAATCTATTGAAAGACGGGGTACCTTTTGTGTGGGAAAAGAACAACAAGTAGGATTCGATATCCTTTGTAAAAAATTAATAACTGAACCCATATTACAATACCCTAATTTTGAAGAAACTTTTAACGTAACAACCGACGCATCAGGATACGCGATAGGCGCGATACTAAGCCAAGGAAAAGTAGGTCAAGACTTACCAATATCTTACGCATCAAGACTTTTAAATAAGGCAGAATGCAATCATTTTACCATCGAAAAGGAACTATTAGCTATTGTATTCGCAGTGCGGTACTTTAGACCATATTTATATGGACGTAAATTCACTTTAATTACTGACCACAGACTCTTAGTTTGGCTCCATAATGTGAAAGATCCAACTTCTAGACTATTACGATGGAGAATAAAATTAGAGGAATACGAATATAAAATAATTTATAAACAAGGGAAAATTAATTTAAATGCTGATGCTCTCACTCGAAATCCCCCACAAACGATAGATTTTCCAAGAAACTAAAATTTTTCCGTTAACGTAATAACGCGTAACATGGCACGATGGAAGGGCCAAGACGAGACTCAAGAAATTACTCCCATCATAAATAACTCTTCTAACAACTCATCCCAACCACGATCTCGTAAACCCGAACCTAAGGCATCTCAGGAAATTCAAGAAATCCAACCGCTTGTAGAAAAATTTTCACCCGGAAGACGGTCCATCTCACTAAACGGAACAACACCTGCACTTGCGTCGTGTTCCGAAAGCGACGAGGAAAGTAGCGAAGAGATAATAAACCAATCGATGACGGAAGCGATATGGACTAGGGATAACATAGCGCTCAGGACGGGGCACGTTGTATGCTTCTTTACCCCCAATGGAGACCCCATAGACAATGGTGCTCGACTCCTCAGAAAATACGGTAAAATAAAAGAATCCCAAAAAGAAAAAACCGAACCAGGAGAAATACTTTTACAACGAAAGAAACATACTATCTATCATAAAGTAATATTGTGCCAGGGTTCACAATTAGAACGGGCTCTCAATCTTTTGAAAAACTTGGCCATAAAAAATAATGGAACCTCAATGTATTTCTCCGTCACTCCGGAAGGTTTTTTCATCTTTTCATGGCCTCAAATAAAAGAAAAAATTGAAGAGGCATTCCGGGATACGGAAATAAAATAATTTCTCTGCAGAAACGAAATTAAAATCTCAGATGAAAAGGATAGACCTGGAATAATATTTGAAGCGCATGCATCGGTAATTGGAGGACATAAAGGAATAAATAAAATTTGTGCGAGAATAAAACAAAATTACCGTTGGGATGGAATGAAGAAACAAGTCAGGGAATACTTTTAGTCATGTGCCAGCTGTCAAAAGAAGAAATTATTACGTATGAAAACAAAGCAACCAATGATAATTACTGATACATCAATTGATGCATTTTATAGAGTAGCATTAGATATCGTTGGTCCTCTGCCACAACCGAAAAACGGAAATATTTATATATTAACCATGCAGGACGATTTGACAAAATATTGCATGGCCGTCGCCTTAAAAGATTCCAGTGCCCCCACGGTAGCCGACGCTATGGCGAATAATCTAATGTCATTTCACGGAGCACCTCACACGATCCTTACTGATCAAGGGGCAAATTTCATGAGCAAATTAGTAAAATCATTATCTAAATGTTTTAAAATAAAGCAATTACGCACAACAGCTTACCACCCCCAAAGTAACGGGGCGCTAGAACGGTCACATCGCGTATTAGCCGATTATTTAAGACATTTTACCACTATGGAAAAAGAATGGGATGAATGGATTAATTTTGCAATGTTTTCATACAACACTAGCGTCCACAAAGGGACACATTTTACTCCATTTGAACTATTGAACTTATAAAAAATGTGGGATACTCGGGAATGTTGGACGAGTGATGAAATTATAACACGCGTTATAACGGTAGAAATCGAATGGAATTTATTCACAGCGAATGTGTCGATGTTTACACCTTGAGAGCTATGACGAATCTGTCTCTCGCGACGATATAGGCAATTAGATCATCCGATCGAGGGTGCACGAAATATGACGAATCGTCACAAGGTGACGTAGTCAGGTATTCGGCTGCTAAGCCGGTGCGAATACAATATAGTGAAATAATTCGAACGATAAATAAGTAGCTTCGCTACAATACTCCCCTTCTGTGTCGGAAAAAAAAGAGGGAGTTAGCTATGTACAATATATACAATATAGGCAATGTATACGCGTTAAAATGGCACTAAAAACGGTATACGTGATTTGAAAAGAAAATTGAATATTGAGTGAGTTTATTGATTGAACCTGAAGCGTTTTCAAACTGGTCGAGGAGATGAGTCCAAAGATGATCTTGCATCACTCGATGGAACCCAAGATGATGATCTGCGTCTAGATGGTCCAGGTTGCGGTGAGGTATCTGGTGTCGTACCAGGGGTCGATTGTTCTGACGACGGTAATAGAGTGTCGTCTGAATCGTTGTCGTCATCCGGTAAGTCAGCGTCAGCTGCTTCGTCTTCGGCAATGGAAAATACTGGCTTCAGACGGTCAATGGATACGACAGTTTCTTGACCATTGATCCAGACGACGAAATGCTTCTCGTGTCGCGATATGACACGATGTGGTCCTTCGTACGGTGGCGTAAATGCATGATGAGCAGCATCTAAACGAATAAAAACGTGCGAACATGAGGCGAGTTCTTTAAATACGAATACCTTACGTTGGCCGTGTCGTGTGCCGGGAACTGGAGCGAGCTCAGCGAAGTGGTTTCTGAGTCTGTCGGCAATCGTTACTGCCGGTAGGCCATTGTTCGGGGCAGGAGCGAGAAATTCTCCTGGTAATCGAAGTGGCTCTCCAAATACGATATCGGCAGATGTGGCGTGAAGATCGTCTTTCCACGCTGAAGGAATTCCAAAAAGTACGGTGGGGAGGGTATCTACCCAATGAGGACTCTCTTGACACCGTATTGCTGCTTTGATTTGGCAATGTAGACGTTCCACTATGCCGTTCGATTGCGGATGAAACGCCGTCGTGCGAATATGTCTGCTGCCTGTACGTCGAGCGAGAGCATTGAAGAGTTGGCTCTCGAATTGTGTCCCTTGATCTGTCGTGATCCGAAGCGGAACACCATAACGACAAATCCAGTTTGCGTAGAGCACACCGGCAACAGTCTCAGCGGTAATGTCGGAAATCGGGAATGCTTCCGGGAAACGTGAAAATCTGTCGATTATTGTCAGGCAATAACGGTAACCTCTGGACGGTACATATAGTCCGATGATGTCGACATGAATGTGTTCGAAGCGTCTTGTTCTTCCCCCGGAAAAGTCTTGAATCGGCGATGCCACGTGTCGTGAAATTTTATTCTTCTGGCATGGGAGACATGCACGAGTCCAAAGACGACAGTTTTTCTTTAAACTCGGCCAGACGAAACGTTGAGCAACCAGCTGAGTTGATGCGTTAGCCCCTGGATGACTGACGCTATGCAGAGTGTCACAAACTCTCTTACTTAGCGGTAATGGTAAATAGGGACGAATCAGCTGATCGTTGACGTCACAGTAAATTGGAGTTGGACTCTCTGGCATGTTGATAGGTCGTAGTTGAAGGACGCCATTCGGGTCTTGCAGACGTTCTTGGAGTTCGGCATCTGCTGCTTGTGCCTGTGCTAGTTCGGCCGTCGAGATTGCTATGGANAGACGTTCTTGGAGTTCGGCATCTGCTGCTTGTGCCTGTGCTAGTTCGGCCGTCGAGATTGCTGTGGATATGGCTTCAATTCTCGATAAGGCGTCGGCAACAACGTTATCTTTACCTGCGACATGCTGAATATCTGTTGAAAACTGACCGATAAAATCAAGGCAATGGAACTGCCAAGCATTTGCTTTATCAGGATTTTGTTTGAAAGCATGCAGCAGCGGTTTATGATCAGTATAAATGGTCACATAATGACCTTCAAAAATGTGCCTGAACTTATGAACTGCTTCATAAATTGCGTGGAGCTTTCTGTCATATGGGCATCGCTTCCTCAGGGAAGGTTGAAGCTTCTTACTGAAGAAGGCGAGCGGCTGTCAGACGGTACCTCTGCACTGTTGAAGAACGTAGCCGATAGCAAATTCGGACGCGTCAGTAAAAACAGCCCACGGTAGTGTCGTATCTGGGTACACTAACAGCGTTGCATCTTGCAGTTGTTTCTTAGACGCATTAAAGGCGGCTTCTCTTTCTGTAGTCCACGGAACTGGATGAGACCCTTTTACGTTAGAACCTTGAAGAAATTCGTGAAGGGGTGCCTGTGTTGTTGCAGTACCTTTAACAAATTGCCGATAAAAGTTAATCATGCCGAGAAATTCACGTAACTTCTTAATTTTCTTTGGTCGAGGAAAGTTGACGATAGCTTCAACTTTTTTGGGAAGCGGACGAATTCCTTCCGCCGTTACGCGATAACCGCGAAAGTCGAATTCTGGTTATCCGAAATGGCATTTGGCGGTATTGATGACAACTCCATACTCTGCCAAGCGTTGAAATAGGAGACGAAGTTTTTTTTTATGTTCTTTGGGATCTTTAGAGGCAACTAAGATGTCGTCGATATACGGAAAAACGAAATCTAGATCTCGTGTTACTTCATCGATAAATCGCTGAAATGTCTGCGCAGCATTTCGAAGTCCAAACGTCATGAATGGATATTCGAATAAACCGAGAGGCGTAATTATTGCTGTTTTGCAGATGTCATCCGGTGCGACAGGAATCTGATTGAAAGCACGAACGAGATCGACGGTCGAAAATATCTTTTTGCCTGCGAGATTGGCGGTAAAATCTTCTAGTACGCGAACTGGATATCCATCAGGTATCGTACGAGCGTTAAGTCCGCGATAATCTCCACAGGGTCGCCAATCGCCAGATTTATTGGGCACCAGGTGTAGCGGTGAAGACCAGGGGCTCTTTGAACGACGAGCGATATCTAGCTTCATCATTTTCTGAAATTCCTCTTGTGCGATCGTTAATTTGTCTGGGGCGAGACGACGAGCTTTACTCGATATAGGAGGTCCGGGCGTTGTTGCGATATGGTGGACCGTTGTGTGTTTTGTCACTTGAAAATTTCCATTCGGTTTAGTTATTGACGGAAATTCGGCAAGTAGATCTGTCCAAGACGATTCGGTCGGCTGGTAAACTTTAATTGTTGAAACGATATTCGATAATGACGCTATCCATCGCGTGGATAAACCGGTTGCTGAATCTAATAGACAATTGTTCTTTAAATCAGGTAAAAGTCCAAAATGCGCGAGAAAATCTGCGCCGATAATTGGCTTTTCGACATCCGCAATACTGAAACGCCAGGAAAAATCCCTTCTGAGGCCGAAATTGGGCGAGAGGACAGTACAGCCGTATGTGTGTATCCGTGTGCCATTTGCTGCGTACAACATGTACTCCGTTGCCTTATTTTTGCCAGGGAAAAGCGTTCGTGGATACACGCAGAAATCCGCGCCGGTATCGATTAAATATTTGACTTTGTTATTAATTTCCGATACGAATAGGCGGTGTGAGCGGAAGATTGGATCGTTTACCGCCGCTAACGATCCGACGGTTCGTTTCCCGTCGACATTGAACAAGGAGACCTGCATCGAGTAGCTTGATCACCAAATTTGAAATGATACCAGCATTTTTCGTATTTTTAACTGCATGACCTTGAACGAGGCCTTGAACGAGACTTGGAACGTGAGTGAGNTTGGTCGAGGAAAGTTGACGATAGCTTCAACTTTTTTGGGAAGCGGACGAATTCCTTCCGCCGTTACGCGATAACCGCGAAAGTCGAATTCTGGTTATCCGAAATGGCATTTGGCGGTATTGATGACAACTCCATACTCTGCCAAGCNACTGGATCAGCGCCTGGATAAATGGCGTTCATAATTGGTGGAGACGATATTTCCATTAATTTGTCGGCCAATGTCGCCATTTTGTCCAGTGTGGAATCTGCTTGCNGTTCGTTTCCCGTCGACATTGAACAAGGAGGCCTGCATCGAGTGGCTTGATCACCAAATTTGAAATGATACCAGCATTTTTCGTATCTTTGACTGCATGACCTTGAACGAGGCCTTGAACGAGACTTGGAACGTGAGTGAGAGGGAGCGTTCGTTTTTTATTGCGTTCGCTAGTTCAGAAATGCAAAGTTCGAGACGCGAAAATCTCTGTTCCAGGGCGGCAACAGCTGGATCAGCGCCTGGAGAAATGGCGTTAATAATTGGTGGAGACGATATTTCCATTAATTTGTCGGCCAATGTCGCCATTTTGTCCAGTGTGGAATTTGCTTGCGTCGCTAAAATTGATTGAGTATTTGCTGGCAAGCGTGATAGCCATTTTGTTTTCAGAATATTTTCTGGAATATTGTCGACAAGAGATTTTAATTGTCTTAAAAATTGTGAGGGCTTACGATCACCGAGAACCTCTTTGTCCAGGAGTTGGTGTAGTTTTGCCTCCTGTGAAGCCGTGAGTCTCTCCACGAGGGCTTTTCTTAATGCCTTATATGGAGTTTGATCAGGTGGATGCAGTATGATGTCCTGAACCTCAGCTGCGGCATGCGTGTCAAGGTGGACGGCAGCCATGTGGAATTTGTCGAGTTCATTTTCGATACCTGCGAGGTGAAATTGCCCTTCGAGTTGAGCAACCCAAAGCTCCGGGCGTTCGGCAGAAAATGGTACCGGTCGAACCACGAGGCGTCTCAATGCCTGTGTTGTATCGGGCTCGTCAGGCATTTTGCTGAAAAATCACTAAAATTGTCTAGAAGCGCACTAATCACGGCGAAATTGTTCGTGATAATTTTCACGGTACAGCACAACGTCTCTGGGTGCTCAGCGATGCACCACGATGCACAAAATATCACACGCGGTAACACAAGCGCGTGGAACGATATAACGCTACCGAGCACGTGTCGAAAAATCTAACGCTTCTCGAAAGATCCACGAAAATCACGCGATCGAAAATTACTTCAATTTTGACGGCAACTATTTCACTCTGAACACGTTAAAACGATAATTTTATTGATCACGTTAAAAGGATCACGTCGGGATCACCACTTGTGGGATACTCGGGAATGTTGAACGGGTTGATGAAATTATAACACGCGTTACAACGATAGAAATCGAATGGGATTTATTCACAGCGAATGTGTCGATGTTTACACCCTGAGAGCTATGACGAATCTGTCTCTCGCGACGATATAGGCAATTAGATCATCCGATCGAGGGTGCCCGAAATATGACGAATCGTCACGAGGTGACGTAGTCAGGTATTCGGCTGCTAAGCCGGTGCGAATACAATATAGTGAAATAATTCGAACGATAAATAAGTAGCTTCGCTACAAAAAATTAAGGACCTATCACGATCACGGCAGGGAATTGATTTCTAAACTCCAAGACATTCAATATTTAGCTAAGGATAATTTGCAGAAGGCTAAAATTAAATCAAAAACAAATTATGATAAGAAACTCAATATCCAAGAGTTTAAATTAGGCGATTGGGTGTACTTACTAAAAGAAAACAGGAAAGGAAAGTTAGATGACCACTCTACCGGCCCTTATTTTGTCAAATTATCATGAATGGAAACGTCCGCATACAATTAAAAGCAAATAAAAATAGAGTCGTTCATTCGAATCGTTTAAAAATAGCCCGCGTCCCAGAGGGATACATCGGAGCATAAAAAAAATGAAGATACAAATATAACATATTTCCTCTTTCTTCCATTTTTTCTATTAACACATATTTATGCACGTACATATACTGTTTTAAACTGAGGGGTCCCGAACATTTACAGAAAATTAAACAATGAGTTCACTCAACACGATAGTTTTCGACTCCCAGGGATTCACCGATGATTTTATGGGGTTCATACCAAAAGAAATTGCATGGGCCACTTTAGATTACTCTACGAGCATTCACGCCATCGCAAAAGCCCCCTGCCCCTGGGAAAGCCTTAGCGAGCGTTCACAAATTGTTAACCACAAATAAACACGGGCTTCGTTGGAACACATCTGGCCTCAATCATCAAAAATTAAAAGGGTTATGCGCGGTTATCCCGCCAGAAACCACTACTATTTATGTTATTCATCCTAAGATGGCGAGTTATCTGCATACGTATTACCCTACCAAAGAATTGTTATCTTGAATGTTTCTCTCGCATACGGCGAACCCTTTTCCTATCTTTCTGAAACTTGCAAACTTCATCAGACCCTTAATTGTCACGGAAAAAATTATCAATGCTCAATGATGAACGTAGCAAAAATGACACGCATTGTAAATAGGTTTCAAACTCCTCACCCTCATCATTCTTATTTAGTATCACCAATGCCCAGATATAGAAACCAACGAACGCGAATACCAAGTAATTCTAATATTGCATATCCTCAATTTAGTCGTGTCGATGTTCGGATCCACTCTTTTTTCACTTGGGTTTCTCAACTTTTATCCCCTGTATTACTAGCCAGAAAGGGATTTTTCTACTCTGGTGAAGATGATGAAGTTATATGCTTTTGCTGCGGAATTAAATTAAATTTATGGTTGCCTGGGGACGATATTCAAAAACGGCATGATTTAGCATCTCCAGGTTGCTCTCTATTAAATCTTCCATGCACTTCAATTCCAGAATTACCACCATCAAACGGGAATGGCGCCCCGACGCCCACACAAGCAAACGTCTCCACGAACACGTACCCACAATAAACCACCGAAATAATGACAACCGGATTCCTAGACAAAAGTTTTCGGAAAATTAAAACTCATCACGCCCTCCAATATTGGGAAGAGCGATTAAATACCTTTAACGATTTTTCTTCTAAAAACATCAACACAAAAGTGACTCTCGCCAAGGCAGGACTAGCCTACTTTGGTTACAAACTACGCGTACACTGCCTTGCTTGCCCATTTGTAATAGATATACACCACAACTACGAATCGTCTCTTCTCAAACATTTCTTTAATTCACCTAATTGCCCTATATTTTTAAATAGCGAATTAATAGAAACCCTAATGTTCAAATATGATGAGGAAATACTCAAAACACTGGGAAAAGACCCATTATTTTCAAATAATGAACAAATAACTTCAAAGGAATTGAGCGAGTATTTAGATCCTAGTAAAATTGATAATACGTTCGGTCAAGAATTGGATAAAAAGGTCGAACCTCTTCTTTTCAAGCGTAACAGAATTTGTTTTAGACAATATGTATAAACAATAAATAATTCCGTAATAAAAATTAATTTGCGTAATCCCAATTGAACGGAACGGATTTCAGAAAATGGAATATCGAGAAGAAATTAAAAGACTCCAGAGCTACACCGGATGGCCCCATACGGATTGGGTAGATCCATTCCTTACCCCCCAACTACTCGCGGCTGCGGGCTACTACTTCATGGGGGAAGACGACGCCGTTCGATGTTTCGAGTGTAAAATGATAGTAAAAGAATGGGAAGAGCGAGACGACCCACTTGTAAATCATTGGAGATGGCGGTCAGCATGTAGATTTATCAGAGGCGAATTCTGTGGGAATGTACCAATTGGGATCGATCCTGCCACAATCCCCATACGCGAATGTCAACCTAACGATATCTATACAATTCGCGGTCCACTTTCCGTACAGTTACTAGACGGTCCCAAAATTAAAAAACCTCCATCTTGGGTGATGACGGAAGATCCTGCCACTATTACTACTAGCCAATCAGAATCAAATTTAAATGATAAACCGCTAAATGAGTCATTAAAATGTAAAATCTGTTTTGAAAATAATATAAACGTACTCTCACTACCCTGTAAACACGCCTTAACGTATGTAAAATGTTCTAAAGATCTTATCATTTGCTGCTACTGCGGAGTAGTATTGACAAATAAAAATCAAATTTTTATTCCATAAAAGGTAATATTCTACCTGATAGGATATTTCTTCTTTCCACTAAATAATGATAATAATCATTAATCTTACTTTTTCCGTGTGCCTTAAATCAAGAGTATCTAGACTCGATTTACCTTAGTATCGTATTATTGATCAAAAGAAAAAATAATAGTTCCAGAAAAATGGACTTCAGGGACGAGTTAATGCGACTCCGAAGCTACAGTGATTGGCCATGGCTTCCAGGGACTAATCATTCTTTAACCCCGAGAACCCTAGCTGCTGCCGGATTCAATTATAAATACACAACCTTGCTCTATAGGGTCTTAACACGAAGTGGCGCAGTCGGGAAAAATGCAGACATATGTGATTGACATTCAGCATCACGCCACCAAAGAATACGAACTCTGGCCTAGGAAAATGGCGATACTATCATTGAATAGCCCAACCGGGAACCACTGGTTAATTAAACCCCCATGCCCTCTAAAGGATTTTGAGAAAACTGTAGTAAATTATAATCGCAGATTAACCCGCATTGAGCACGGAATCGAATGGATAGACGGAGAATCGAATTTAATGTCTATTGAACAATTCCTCATTAATATTGCTCACTCGGCTGTGAGAATATATAAAGAAGGAAGAGATAATGTTGATTATTTATCCGGTTTTCTGTCATGTAAAATCGTACAATCCACTAAAATAGCATCGAAAATTGAAAATTTGCCCGACATTGATGATCAATGTCTCTATCATTCCGTCCTGCGACACGGTCGGTATAAATGCGCTTATAACCGTGCAATAAAATTACGAGATTGGTTGAGAAGTCATGAACATAATTTCGAATCAATATTAGATGAACCTCCAAGCATGGTACATCTAGAATAATTCATTCACTTCCCCATAAATAAACAACTTTTGTTTTCTGTACACAACAATTAATCATTAAAAGAAAAGGAACCCATCCTTTGTTTCAGATGAGTGTTCTAGTCAACATTCTCATTATTTCAATGGCAACAGCTGAAGCATTCGTGGCTTACGATTGCGGAGCACAAAACGCCAATATAACTACAATATCTCTATTAAATGTAAAACCCTGCCAAATAGAAGCGAGGAAACCAATAATTGAAGATACGTATATTCGTTTATTACAGCTTGCAAGATTCCGAGAAATTCATGTACAATCTTGTCTAGTAAAAATAGAACGCACTATATTTAATTGCGGAATGTGGTCACATAATTCCATGGTACACAATGGTCTAGCCGAATACCTCGCTCCCATTTCAGCAGAGTTATGTAGAAATATGCAAAAACATAGGGCTTTTCGATATGAAAATACATTTATTAGTAATTTAGCTCTTAATGGTACGAAACAACGCTCCGTTACTCTCGCTGGAAGAAGCCAGTCCGACAGTAACTGTGAAGGCGCAAAATTCACAGACAGTTACGGATCTTGGGATAATTTACTCGTCCATGGAATAATAACAATCATATTAAATGATCATAATGTAGCAGT